GCTACCTGATTCGTGAATCATTCTTTGCTCAATTAAACTCTGTTACATTTAATTTGTCTAAGGTTTTTCTTTTAACACAAGTTTCCATGTGATACAGATGCTCCTGATCTAGGGACCACAGCTGGAGGATCACTGATCCGTATGACTCTTTTGTGATGCTTTATACTCCTAGGATATCTTGATCCCTTCTCAGCACTGTCTGTTTACTGCACGTAAGAACTGTAGCTTACAGAGAGACCTGAAAATGGCTGTGGTGGACATCCAGGCCTAGGGTGTTTCTGCCCTTCCAGAATGGTGCCAGCAGAGGCTCTAAAAGGCAGACTTGACCAGAATGGCAGTCCTGCCAATGGTTCAAACCTCAAAATTAAGAAATAGTTTTTATAGATGCAAAGGGTGGAACAAGCTATTGTTTGTCCATCAGTCTCTCATCAGTCTCTACGGCAGCACGTGCTCTGGAGACTGCAGTCCACAGCAATTGCATCGCCTTTGAGTATGAAGGATGATGTTATAAATGCCAATACATGCAGAAAACATTTTTTAATTTATATTCTTCACCTCCTGATCAGAACTCAGCTAAGCAAAATTCTAGGAATTAAGTGAATTGATGCATTCAGTGAAATATTATATTTATTTCATGGTTACTATGGATTCAACTGTAGTGTGATTTGCCTTGTAAAGTGATTGTACCAATCTATTATACAAAAGTCCGAAATTGTTGAAACAAAGAAGGACTAAAAAATTGTGCTATAGGGTTTTTCTACAAATGTAGTAAAATTGCTTTATCTTTAACCATTTGATTTATAAAAACTGCCTGTTTATATATATATACTGGACAGAGGAAACACATCATTTATAGACTTGATTAGCCAAAATACAAATGTAACATGTATGCATAAAACTTATGTAGTGGAGTATTTGGTTTTGAGAATGATATATAGGAGATATAATAATAATTCTGGGGAACTTAATATGCTAGATACATTGTAATTCTTGCAAAGGCTTACATATTTGTATTTTGCTTAAACATTTTATTTTTATTTTTGGACCATCATCCCTTTATTTTTTCAAATAAAAACATACTTAGAAGTAAATTAAATATATTTTCTAAATACACACATTAAAATTTATGTACCCCAACTTTCAAATGCTGTGTTATGTTTCTGAACATATATGCATTACTATCACCTCTAGAAAGTTATTGAAACTATTAAATTGCCTGGATGGTTGAAGATTAGAAGCATTATAGTCTATTAATAGGACAATGCCATTCTGAGTGATCTTTGGAATATGATACTTTATATACTAATTCAGCTTTACAACCTGAAGGTAGAAACCAATTATATGGGACAAAAACTGCTTTGATGTATTATTTTTTATCTAAGACACTATTAAAATGCTCAAATCTTACTAGTTTAAAAGAGGAAATGGGGACCAAAATACATGGTGTTCTTTATCCTAAATTCCCTTTGCCTGGTGCAAAAATAATGGTTCATATTTTATCTGAGTGTTCCCAGGCCATCCTCTTCACATTACACTTCGAGGTACCACGGTGTGCGAAAAAGAGGTTTGGCTCAATTTCAGACTCAACCATAACCTCTCCATGTGGTCTCAAGTTAATAAACTTTCCTGGGCCTGAGTTTCCTCATCTGTAAACTGAGAGCATGTGAGAGTGCTCATAAAACATTATTTGAAAAGACTGGAGAGCAAGCATGAGTGAGTAGTGTCCATTGAAGTGTTTGTCCCAGTAATTAACTGGAGAGTGTTCATGCCTTTCATTCTGTGAGCTAGCAAAGATGGAGGGAAATGAATTAATGAAAGAGATATTTAGATGAATAGGTTGCTTAAACATTTTAGTGTTGATGTGTAATCAATGCACTTTGAATCAGGAAAATGCATTGAGTTGATCAAGATATTTCATCCATGTTGCTTCTTTGCTTGAAATATTTCTGTGAAAAAGTATTGCCAGTTCTGGAAATAGTTAAAAGAATGCACGAGTACTTTATTAGCTTTCACTAAACATGCATGTATTCATAAAGATTATGTACAGTTTTCTAACATGTTTTCTTAAAGTGTATACAAATACTATTACAATAGTATGTATCATTCTTTTCATTCTTTAACTTACTTTCATCCTTGAACAATTTATTTTTAAAAATTTAATTTATTTTATGAGAGATGGAATCTCTCTATGTCACCCAGGCTGAAGTGCAGTGGCTATTCACAGGTGCGATCATAGTGCACTACAGCCTTGAACTCCTGAGCTCAGGTGATCCTCCTGCCTCAGTCTCCTGAGTTGCTGTGACTACAGGTGCATACCACCATGCCCAGTTATTGTTTTAATTTCTATATAGTATTCCATTTTATATCTATAAGTTTATCTTTTCTCCTATGATGGACAGTTAGGTTGTTTCCAAATTTTCGATGCTAGAATTCTTTAATGGATGTTCTTGTAGTGTATCTTCTTGAGCTCATACAACATGTAGTCTAGAAGTGAAATTGAGTAGTACACAAATACTCAGCTTTATCAGATAGTGCCAAATTGCTCTCTAAATTATTAGTACCAAATTGTATTACCACTAGTACTGTATAAAAGCTCTTGTTTCACATTTTCCTCAATACCTAATAATGTGAGCATTTTAAATTGTAATGTGAAAGTCTAACATAATATTTCATGTGATTTTATATGTAATATTCCCAACACCAGCACATGTAGAGGCCATATTCCTGTCATTTTTATTAATTATTTGGGGTTTCTTTTTATGGGAATTGCCCAATTATATCCAGGCATCTTTATATCCTATGCCAATTTTTCTACTGTGTTGTCTTTCTCTTATTGATTATCGGTCTCAACATAACGTGAATACTAATCCTATTTTGGGTTATATACTTTGCAATTATTTTCTCCAGGTTTTTGGCTTATATTCAAATTTTATTTCATGGTGACCTTGTTGGTGTAGAAGATTTTAACTGTGATGTAATAAATATTATCAATCTTTTCCCTAAGGTTTTTATGTCTTTTTGTTTTTGTCTTGCCTAAGAAAACTTCCCTAGTCCGATGTCCTCAGGAAGTTTTGAAGTTTGCATTTTAGAGTAGGCCTTTAATCTATGTGAAATTATGATGTGTGCTGTTGGTAGCATCAGTTTTTTTCCCATATGGATTTTTAGTGGTACCAGTGTTATTTATTGAATCATCCATCCTTTCATCACTAATTTGTATATTTAGGTCTCAGTTTTTTACTATGTTCAAGTATTCTATTGACTTTTTTCTGCAATAATCAAAAACATGCATTTCTGTTTTTCTGTGAATTCATTACATGTCCATTTTGGAATGTTTCCATGACTTGCATGGTTTTGGTTGCATAAACAATAGTCCATGGACATCGATTTGCTCCTGATACTGACTCAATGCAGAGTCACTAGTATAGTCTACCAAATGTTTCCAATTCTCTACCTTCTGGGAAATGGTGGGATTGGCTCTTTCTACTCTCTTTATATTTAGGCATGACTATGAGACTTATTGCCAGTGGGTTCATTCCTGAGTAGAATCTTTAAATAGAAGCTCTAGGAACCAGCCTGTGATTCGCCATGTTTTCCAATCCTGGCTCAGCAATCATGGAAGCATGGAGATAGAAACTCCCTGAGTGAGACTGACATCAAGCAGAGCTGCAGATGACCTTCAGTACCTTAATAGACCTGAAACTGAGTGAAACCAGTTGTCTTAAACCACTGGGATTTTTGGAGTTGTTCATTACTCCAAGATGATCTGGCATATCCTGACAGATACAGTTAATGTCTATAATTTACAATTTGATAATTGGGGAAATGATAAATGAACACCCTGCATTTGTCAGAAGGTAATATTTATATGTTAATGTCTCTTTTTTCAATTCCTTCTCCCAAATGCCTTTCAATGTGTCATTCTTAGGGCACTCATATTCTCTAATACCCATGACCTGTCAATCAAATTCAAGTTAAATTTTGATAGCACACTTTTTTTTTTTTTTTTTTCTCCCAGCCTGTATTTCTTCCCTCAAGCCTGCATTTCTTCTCATGGAGTGTTACATTTTTAAAGAAGTTACCTGAAAAGATCAATGTTTTACCTAAAATCTTTAATGATGATGATCATCTTTATGGCCCTACAGTGAGGGGTCATTTGTGAAAAGCAAGAATTCTCAGCTTCCTCTTATTAGAACAATTGGTTTCTACTAACGTGATATATATGTGACAGTGGCTTTGATATTAATGATCCATAATTCCTTGTTGATGATGATTGCATTCACAAACTTGTGTGTTCAGTATCTGACTTTTATATTTCTGGAATGGTAAAGATAAGAGGGGAAAATATAAGAAGTGGAGGTGTTACTAAAAGGATATTTCCTGGACAGACATATCTTTTTCAAATAATCTCTCCACTGCTTAAATGTTCCTTTATATTAATAAATTCCTTCTAGATATGCAAAATCATCTCATCTTATGGCAGGGTTGGACAGTGGTGGAGGTGGGAAAAGAAAGGAACTAATATCCAGAGAACTACATTTTTAATCCGTCATACTTTAACATAAAGTACATGAATCCTTTGATTGGAATATTTGCCTCCTAACAACTAGGAGGTGTTAGGGCAGGCAGTGGACGATTGGATGGAGACGATGAGTCATTTTAGAGCCTGGGAGGTGGCACACATACATGGCAGGCAGACAGTGGGGCTTTGGCTTTGATAGAGGGAAGTCTCAGGACCTCTCAGAACATAGCTGTGAGAAGGGATGTGGTAGTGGGCATAGTCAAATTCCTGCTTTGCAGTTAAGAAAAAATAAATGTTGGTATGGGTTACAGGCATTCTGAAAAATCATCTCAAGTGTCAGAAGCTACCACTTATACCTGTAATAGTTTCACTAAAGAATGCCAAACATTTCGGATATTAGAATACTATCTTGCCAGGCTTTTTCCTCTTTAAAAAATGAGTGTTAATTGGTTAATTAACATTTACGTATCTCTCTTTTTAGGTGGTTCTTTGGAGCAATCAGAAGATCAGATGCAGAGAAACAACTATTATATTCAGAAAATAAGACGGGTGCCTTTCTAATCAGAGAAAGTGAAAGCCAAAAAGGAGAATTCTCTCTTTCAGGTATGGGTATTGTTTTGTGTCATTCAATATGAGCTTGAGGGTCTATAGTCATGAACTTTCTGTGTAAACATAGACATGATAATTTAGAATTTGCCTTATTTCTTATCTTTACAGTAGCACCAAAATTAATACTAAACTACTGAAGAGTAATATAAAACTTAGCCAAAAGATACTGTCTATGGCTAGAAGTCTCTATAAACAGTTTCAAATATATACGCTCTAGATATGAAATGGAGAACATTTCTGGTGACATTTTCTAACTTTTGCATTATCTAGGATTCTTTTAGGGAAATGATAAGAAACAAAAACTACACTGTTGTCAAAATTAATCTTGCTACAATATATATTTTTTCTTCTTCTAGCATTTCAATTGTCTTTGGTAAACACAAAATGAATTGAAATGATTAATACAAATATATGTAGTTAACCCCATATTATGTAAAATTTGGTGAAATGTAGTTTTTCACCTAAGGATCAAGTATATATATACACTGCCCTAGGAAAATAGAAGCACAGGGGACCTGAAAATGTACTCAGTAGTTACACGTACCTAAATATATGTCTTTGCTTTGAAAAAGCTATATTTTTAGGTATATTGCCAGATTGCAGAATATCTTTCCTTAAGACTCTACACTAGGTCATCTCTAAATGTGAGGCTTTATCTCTTCTTGCCCCGTTCTGTTCTCTGTATTGTCTAGACCTGTCATTTGTGTTATCATCCCCTTTAAACACATATTATTCTGTTTCTCCAATTAGATGTGAACCTTGTGGAGGGAAAGGCTTTGCTTCCCTATATTCCTATTGCCCTGCAATAAATGCTGATTAAACATGATGCCCATTTACCTCATTGCGTCTGCCTGACTCACCGAGCTGGAAATCAGGGCAGCCGTCATGATGCCACATGAAAGCAGGCTGTAATTCCACGTGTATTAGGAACTTTGATTTGACCTGAACTCTGGCCAGGCTGTGTGTATTTGGTACACATTATCCTTCTCCACACCTGGTAGTTCCAAATATCAGGGCAGATGGGTTGGAGCTGGAGAGAATCAGGGGCAGTGGTTTTGAGGCAGGTATTGTAGAGTTTCCATACTTCAGGTCCTGACTATGCTGACACTGAATCAATGTGGTACTCCAGAACCACATGGATTCAACTTCACTACTACCTAATTCCATGGATAAGAGATTAGAGAATTCTAGTTCTTATGCTCATTCTTGAAATATGATTATGTGTGATGTGTCAGTTATCCCCCCCCCCTTTTTTTTTGAGATGAAGTGTCGCTCTGTTGCCAGGCTGGAGTGCAGTAGCACGATCTCGGCTCACTGCAACCTCCCCCACCCGGGTTCAAATGATTCTTCTGCATCAGGGTCCCAAAGAGCTGAGACTACAGGCATGCGCCACTACACCCAGTTAATTTTTATATTTTTAGTTGGGATGCGGGTTTCACCATGTTGGCCAGGATGGTCTCGATCTCTTGACCTCATGATCCACCCACCTCAGTCTCCCAAAGTGCTGGGATTTCAGGTGTTAGTCACCATGCCTGGCCTGTCACTTACTTTTTAAATGTTTTTTATACCTAAGATGATAATCAAAATATCTAATGACTGATACGGGATAGGCATTAGCCACTCAGAACAGATGCTCCACCAGGCTGGGACTTCACACCAGTCCACATCTGTATATCCAAGTGATATAAGTGAATATTTCATATAGCAATTTTTTCTCATTATGAAAGAAACATAAAAAACTTTTCTATAAGCAAACAGCTTAAAGAAGAATAATCTAGAATAAGACTTTCTAAAGATGCATTTTAAATATCGAAATACTTTTCCTGTCAGTATTTTTAAAAATTCTTGACCTATAAGTATGTTTTTATGGACATCTACTTATACATACATACTCAGACCCCCATACACAGAAAACCAAATTTTTGTTTTGAAAAATAGTGTTCTGAAAATGAGTTTTCAGAGAAAGTCTGCATTAAACATTAGCTTGTAAATAATGAAATACGTGTGTGTTTTGTAAACAAAATTGAGCAAAAAGGAATTTGAAAGAAAGAGACTTTATTCCAGTGAAGTCTGCAGACCCAGAAGATGCAGCCTTCTGTGTAAAACAAAGGTGCATTCCAGACAACAAAGGGAGGATTACAGTTTCATAAAAAAGTTACCACCCAGGTTCCCAGTCAGGTTCACATATGCAAATGAGGGATTAAAACTTGCTTAGTTTTGAGTGGTTAATACAGCTGACCTTAATTGATTGTTAAAGTTGAGTCCTGATTGGTTGATACAGCTGAGTCCTGATTGGCCAAGGCAGGTAAGTTCTGAAAGTCCAAAGTTAAAGACGTGTGGATTTTCAGGAAGCTCAGAGTACGTGTGTGACCTCTATTAGCAAATGGACCCTTGGTTCTATTTTAAATTTAGGACCAGTTAGCCGCTTGGGATCCATCTTGAAGGACTGACTCTTTCAGGTTAACTTTTGTTAATAGTGTATATATCTATAAATCTATGTATATATAGATAAATATACACACATATGTATACACACATATGTATATACATATGTGTGAGCATGCATGTATGTGTATAACATGGATCCAAGCTCCATTTTTCTTTTCTTTTTTTTTTCAGACAGAGTCTTGCTCTGTCACCCAGGCTGGAGTGCAGTGGCGCCTTGTCGGCTCACTGCAACCTCCGACTCCTGGGTTCAAGCAGTTCTCCTGCCTCAGCCTCCCCAGTAGCTGGGAATACAGGTATATGCCACCACATCAGGCTAATTTTTGTATTTTTAGTAGGGACGGGGTTTCACCATATTAGCCAGGATGGTCTCAATCTTCTGACCTCCTGATCCACCCTCCCTGGCATCCCAAAGTGCTGGGATTACAGGCGTGAGCCACCACGCCCGACCCAAGCTCCATATTTCTTATTTCTGTCTTGCAGTATCTTGTGAGCATTTTTGCATGCCCTTTAATATTCTTCTACTCTATTACTTTTAGAAGTTGCATGGGTATATCATCATTTATTTGACTTATTTTATATTTCATATATTTTAATTATTTTGCTGCTAAAAAATATGATACGGTGGATATCCTTACAGATAAATATTTGAATATTTGAATATTTTCGTGGTAATATATTCAGAGGAGGAAAAATCTTTTTGAAATCTTTATGCTTAATAAGAAGACTTATAAGAGAATTCCTTGTTTAAATACATCCCTGTTTGTTTATCTTTGGCAATACGTATCAAATTAGGTGGCAGTTATTTAGTCAAAAGCTAGATCAAATGTTTTTAGATTAGCATTAAAAATACAGAAGAATGAGGCTGGGTGTGGTGGCTCATGCCTGTAATCCCAGCACTTTGGAAGGCTGAGATGGGTGGATCACTTCAGGCTAGGAGTTCGAGACTAGCCTGGCCAATATGACGAAACCCTGTCTCTACCAAAAATACAAAAATTAATGGAGAATGGTGGTGCACACCTGTAATCCCAGCTACTAGGGAGGCTGAGGCATGAGAATTGCTTGAACCTGGGAGGTGGAGATTGCAATGAGCAGAGACCATGCAATTGTACTCCATCCTGGGTGACAGAGTGAGATTCTGTCTCAAAAAACAAACAAACAACAACAAAAAAGAATGATACTTTCATGAGGAAAACAAACTCAAAGCAGAATTACCTGAATTATGTCTTTGAATAATGCCCAGGCTACAGTGACTGTTCAGAATACTCTCTAAGTAGAATATTATGGAACAAAACAGCTTTATAGGCTTAGAACAAAATTACAAGGATATTGGCTGTTATGTGCTGTGAATACTCTAAAGCTTGCTTATGGATTTAGGAAGCTCTGCAGGCCTTGCTTAGAAACCAGCATATCATTATAAGTTTCTTTTCAATGAAGTCAAACAATTTAGTATTTTAAACAAATTATCTGATTACTGTGTATTCACTGGGGGACAAAGTAAGTGCATACCATTATGATCTACTGAAAGGAAATTTTTCTTATTAGCCAGAGGGAAGTCTTTACAGGAGAAAAATGGAAAGAAAAAGGGCTTTCAATATATCCATTTTAAAACAAACAAACAAACAACCCAATTGCTGACTGCTGATTATCAGTAAGGATCTTCAGATATACCACTCATAGATTTATTTCTTAGTGCGGTTGTCTTCTTAATCAGTTTGAATTGATGGTCTTCAATTTTGCTGACTGCTTTGCTGCTAAAGGAAGGCAAATAATATCCCTTTTCTATCTCTTTCTTTCCCACGTGGGTTTCCTTAGAAGTATTGTCTTTATTCCTTGAGCAACAATGGCTTGGAGCTGTCAGAGAAGAGCTTCATGAGGGTGCATGATTTATTGATGCTGAGTGGGCTGAGAAGTAGCAGCCCAAGGTTGGGTGGGTGCTAATTGGGTTGTTGTGATCCCTGCATGGCTGTCTGCTCTTGTGAGGTCTGAGTAGATCTGAAAAGAGAGTTAGGGCCATGACACCTCTCATAACGGCAAGACACTAATTAGCTGTGAATTACAGCAGTGCTTTTGGATATTACATATTATATGTGGTAGCCAGAGAATCTGTCTTCATTAGATGCATGACAGGTAGTTTTAGTGACCCTACTCTTATTTGTCATTGGCAGTGAATTGTTTTTCTGATGAAAAATACCAAATTCTAACTGCATGTCTACTGGTTTGGCTATTTCTTGACTTCAATCAATTACTTTAAAGGAAACTATTATTGTTATTACCATTAATATTAATTTGCTGGTTGGTATCCTATAAGCAATAGTATTATTCATTGTTTAACGTACACTTTAAAGAAAATGCACTTTATGGTCTAAAATTGAGCTGCAGCTGAGTTTTTCAGAGGAGACTCTGCGTTGAATACTGTGATTTTACTTGAGGCAACTATGCACGTAAAAGCCTACAGAGTACTAGAGCTTTCAGATTTTTTATCAGTGAAACCCATTCAGCACCAAGTAATAATATATTGAAGATAATTGAAAAATGACTACATTGAG